CAGAAAAGAGCAACTAGAATGATAAAAGGGTTGGAACACTTTCCCTATGAAGAAAGGTTAAGGCGCTTAGGGCTCTTTAGCTTGGAGAAATGACAGCTGAGGGGTGACATGATTGAGGTTTATAAGATTATGCATGGGATAGAGCAGGTAGAGAAAGAGGTACTTTCTCACAATACAAGAACTCATGGGCACTCCATGGAATTGCTGAGCGGTCGGGTTAGAACAGAAAAAAAGAAGTCCTTCTTCACTCAAAGAGTGATTAACACATAGAATTCACTGCCACAGGAGGTGGTGGCGGCTACAAGCATGGACGGCTTCAAGTGGAAATTAGATAAGAATATGGAGCAGAGGTCCATCGGTGGCTATTAGCCACAAGGTATAGATAGGGAATCCGGGGCAAGTGATGCGCTGTCTTCTTGGTGCTTGGGGGTGGGTCAACAGTGTGGGGGCTCCTAGTGTCCTGGCCCCACTGGTGGACCTCCTGATGGCACCTGGTATTTTTGGCCACTGTGTGACACAGAGTGTTGGACTGGATGGGCCATTGGCCTGATCCAGCATTGGCTTCTCTTATGTTCTTAACAACCAAGACTTTCTGAGCACGTTCCAGGGTACGCACACACCTCACAAAGGTCTATGGCTACTCGAGAATGGGAAGATTTAATCTGTTGATGCCTTGGTATGCTGCATTTCTTCCAAAGCAGCTTACTAAAATTTCCAGGCCAAATTAAAACAATGTCATTTAAATAAAAGCATCCTGGGCAGGTTATGGTTTACTAGAAGGGCTGTCAGAAGCCTCTAGGCTGCAAGCAACGGAGGGAGAGCCCTTTGGTTTTTGCCCTTTGGCTGCACCCTGACTTTTCACCTGCAGGCAAGAAGGAAATAAGCACACCTGAGACCTGGCATAGCAGACGAGACAAATCCCCCTCCTTAGCTGTCTAAAACACTTCCGTGTTGTCGGGAAGGATTAACACTGTCTGTCAGGGAAGCTTGTCCTCTACGCGGTGTCCTCTCACTGAAGGAACCCTTCCAAGAACCCGAGGATTCCTCAACCAGCAGTTTAATTATGACATACCAATGTTGTAAACTTGAGCATTTAAAACTGTACTTCTGTACTTTAGGTAGCCTAAAAGTTTTTCTGTAAGGTTTTCCGGCTCATCGCTAGAATGAACCTTCAGCTTCCATCTGGGGCAAGGTTTCCTGAGAAAGCCCACCTTGTCTCGCTGCTGTTGGCAGCGCCTCCATTACAACAGTTTCAGCTGCCCGTCAAAAGTATAGGCATGCCATCGGTTCTGAGTATGTGCCATCACTGGACCCTGTCACTGTGCCTTACACCCAGTTTGACCATTTCTGTGCCATGCAGCATAAGAAGAGCTAGAGGAGACCGAAGGTGCATCAAGTCCAGCATTCTGTTCACGCAGTGGCCAACCAGCCACATCTAGGGAGCCCTCTAGGAGGAGGAGATTGGATTTATACCCCGCCCTTCACTACCCAAAAGGTGTCTCAGAGCGGCTTATAAACTCCTTCCCCTTCCCCTCCCCACAACAGGCACCTTGTGAGGTAGGTGGGGACTGAGAGCTCTTGACAGAAACTGCCCTTGAGGGAACAGCTCTGACAGAACTTTGGCTTGCCCAAGGTCATCCAGCAGCTGCAAGTGGAGGAGTGTGGAATCAAACCCAGTTCTCTCAGATTAGAGTCCACGCACTTAACCACTACACCAAACTGGCTCTCTGCAACAGCACCCCTCCCACCCATGCTCCACAGAGGTATATAAAGAGGTATCCTGCCTCTGGTACTGGAGGGAGTAGATCTCCCATCTTGTCTGGTAGCCATTGACAGCCCCGTTCTCCAGGAATTTGTCCACTCGCCTTTTAAAGACTTCCGGGTTGGCAGCCATCACTGCATCCCATGGCAGTGAGTTCTGCGATTTAGCTGTGCACTGTGTGAAGAAGGACCTCTTTTGTCTGTCCTGCTTTGTATGTCTCTGCTTCGCTGCATCTGGTGATGGTGGTTGTTGCTGGTTCATAGTATGGGCTGGCCGGTTGTACTAGTGCAGCATTCAGCCAGACTTACCCTGGCAGAGTGATCCTTGTTGGAAATGGTTCCGGGGCACTCCCCTTGGGCTCCATTCAGGCTGCTCTGTTGGCGTAGAACCCTTAAAGTCTTCTTAAATATCCAGAGAGATGCACACCTTGATCCATTTAGCAGCTAATTTTGGAGGACGCGTTTCTGTCCTCTTTAGGGTGCTGTTTACTTAGGTTGCAAAGAGGAATACGTGCCTAACACGTATTCAAGTGGTTAAGATGCTGAACTGCAGGTTGTGGAAGGTCAGGAGTTCAGCATTTTGAGACCTGAGTGTGCTGCGTGACGGAGTGAGCTCCCGTCTCTAGTTCCAGCTCCTGCCAACCTAGCAGTTCGAAAGCAAGAAATTGCAAGTAGATAAATAGGTACCCCTTCGGTGGGAAGGTAACAGCGTTCCGTGCGCCTTGATGTTTAGTCATGCCGGCTACATAACCACGGAAATGTCTTCGGACAGCGCTGGCTCTTTGGCTTTGAAACGGAGATGAGCACTGCAACCCTAGAGTCGGATTCGACTGGCTTTTGAGCAAGGTAACCTTTACCTTTACTATTTTTACTTAGGTTGCCCAGAGGAATATGTGCCTAACACAGCAGTGCTGTGTATTTTAAAATGCATTTTCTTTTCTCATTTAGTAGGCAATAGAAATACCAGTTTAGTGTAGTGGTTAAGAGTGGTAGGCCTCTAATCTGGAGAACCGGATTTGAGTCCACACTCCTCCACATGCAGCTGCTGGGTGACCTTGGGTCAGTCACAAATTCTCTCAGAGCTGTGCTCTCAAGAGCAGTTCTCAAAGAGCTCTCTCAGCCCCACCTACCCTACAGGGTGTCTGTTGTGGGGAGAGGAAGGGAAAGGAGACTGTAAGCCACTCCAAGACTTTGAGTGAAGGGCAGGGTATAAATCCAATATCTTCTTCTCTTCTACATTATGTAAGCCTTCACAATTGTTTAGGTTAACTGTTTAGTTACATATAAAGCTAGGATGGTACACTGGTTAGTGTCAGAATAGGATCTGGGAGACCTGGGTTCAAGTCTGTCGAGGAAGATTGTTAGATTACCTTGGACCTGACTTACGGTTTAAGCGCTTCGCCGCTCGGACACGTCCCATCTCGCTCTGATGGAGATGCGCCGAGGCCCGGCTGATGGGAGGGGACTGAGTTCGTCCTTGACCTCCCCAGGGTCTCTGTAGGAGACCCCCAGCCTGGGGAGCTGAGGAGAGCCTCTTCCAAGGCGACGGCCAAGGAATTGAGGCTCACCTTCTTCCCCAAAAGGTACCGTCGCCGCAGAGCCAGTATGGCGCCCAGAGAGGACTGCCGGAGCAAGCGATCACGATCAAACTTTTAAAATGCTTCCAAAAGATCTCCAAGGCTCCAAATTGTGAGTTAAGCAGAGCTCAGGTGAAAAAAGCGAGCTCAACCTTGGTAGTAATTGGAAGCGCCTAAGTTTGAAGCGCTGGGAGAGAGGAATTCAAGCACCCACCCCCTCTTTTGAGTAAACTTTAAAAACGGGTTTAAATCGGAAATAAAAAGACTTTGAGCTAAAATAAACGCATAAGAAGTTAAGCGAATGCAAAAACTGCTAAAGTATACAAAGCGGGACTAAATCACATAACTTTTGTCTTGTTTTGGAAAACTTACTTCTTGTTGATATTATGGCTGGGAGAGGACAGGGGGCGCTGGAGAAAAAACTAGTGACCGGAAATAACATACCAACGACTCCCTCCCAGAACCAGGAAGTAACTACAGACCTCTCTTCACTGTTAGCAAATGCACTGTGCCCCCAATGGATCAGATGACTAACCTCAACACTAAGCTGGACAATGTCCAAAAACAACTGAATCAAATGGATAAAAGAACCTCAGCAACTGAGAAAAC